TTATGCAATACATTCAGCTAACAGTTATTGTTTGCGTCATTCCAAAACTTGTGATTTTAATCACCGATTCGCACGAATTTCTGATAACACTCAAAATGCACATCAAAACTGTATTATATCCCCAAAATACAAGCGATAATACTGCTAGTGGTAGGTAATCGATGTGTTTTTAGGGCATCTCAACAACAACTTCAACGTAAACAACAATAATATGATTCTAACTTCTGATATCCCGCAGTCTTGTGTGCTCATTAGAGCTCGTTTTCGGAACGGATTAATGAAGGATTTTCAATTTATCCGGTTCGCAACACCGATTTAAACTAATCCACCATCCACTATTTCATGAAGTCAATCGAATGACAAACAACAATAACAATAGTGGTAATAATAACAAAAAATAATAAATTTTAAGTAATAATAATAAATATCAAGAGATAATGACGATAATAAACCCAAATAAACTAGCGATTAAGAATTATTACTGCATTTATTCACGTCACCCTAAAAGCAATGAGTCGTATCCAAATTGATGACTGCAATTCAGGGTTCCGTTCAAACGACAAGTTAATGATCACTTAATTGAATGGTAGGGTGGTGGGTCTGGTGCAGTGCTGACTGGTCTCTTTGCATTTTGCTTTATTTGTGGCTTGTTTCATTAATATTTTTTGACATGCACATTCAAATATGCATATTAGCCTGGGCATTAAAAACTGAGATGAATGTAAGCGATTTGTCAAAGAAGTGTGCTTTTCTTCACGCATTTATAATAACACTCATCTCATGTGAATGATATTATTCAGAGGATAGCTTGCATTTTTTAATAATAATATTTTATTCGCATGTATAATGTAGTATAATACAATCTAATACTATCTGGCGAATATACTACCCCAACTATTGCTGAGGAGGAGGAAAGATTTTAAAACTGGCAAACGAGAATAATAATTATCGTACAAAATAACTTGTGTTTCAATTAAATAGTTTACTTGTGCTCATCATGGTAAAATTGAATATTTGCTAGAAAATGCATTATTCATGCAGCAGCTATGCACTGATTCATGCCAGCTAATGAAGCTGCGAAAAAAATGAGATGTTTGAGTGGAACTCTAGTTGGCTCTAGTTGCAATTCCAGTTGGTGCACTCATTTGCCTGCCTCCGATTACTGGCTTCAGTTACTTGTAACCAGCCGAACTGACGAACAGCTAGTTTAAAAAATAGAAATTCATTGTTGACTTAAACTCGTACAACTTCATTCTCGAGTTTATGCATTCGGGTGTGGATACTATTTACTCGTTACTTGTTAGTATTTTTGGTGACGATGGTTTGTTTGAGTTAGACTGCTTCTCATACAACGGACAAGAAACAAATTCAAGTAAATAGTATGCCAAATAAACTAACGAAATAAATTCAGAAACAAATTTAAGCGTTTTAAGTCAGCTAGTTGCTTGAAAACGATTTGTACAAACACGTAATACGGAATAGTAATAAATGTTAGCTAGAGGTTGGTTGATTTTAACAGCAGCTTTGCTTTACAGTCCAATCATACTTACGTTTACTCATGCTTTGATTTGTACTTAGGATTAGACTACTGCTGTTCTATAATTTGGAGTAGAAGGGGTACTAATTGAATTACTAATTAAGTTGATGCTTCTTGTTTTTGTGATTACTAATTAAATTAGTTAATTGATGCTGCTTGCTTGGCCCGGATCGAACCCTGCCTGATCTTTAGGTCATATCGGTCAGCATGTATTTATGTATTTCTTTATTGCTACTGTTACTATTAATAATGTTAGAATTCATATTTTTTGATTATTATTATTATTATTATTATTACTATCACTATTACTATTGTGGTTACTATTATTGTTATTGGTAACACTACTACTAATATCCAGTATATTGATGAAGCATCTGCTAAGTTCATGCACTGAAATCACGATTTGTTTTGGAGATTCATTGATATTTTGCTTTAAGTGATTACTTGAATAATTCATTTTTAAGTGATGAATGGAATGCAATTTCGAAACACTTTAGAGATGAAATAATTCGGGTTTGGATTAGAATTATTGTTGAGTGGATTGAAGAAGGGAATAATATATTGGTTTGTTGAATAATAAGAAAAGGAAAGTGAGCGATGATCAGAAGGGTTTTTAAAAGGATGTTCACATTGTTCTCATTTCACTTTCACGTGGGAATAATGTCGTATTAATAACAATGAAATTATTGTTATTTATTTATTTATTTAGATTTGTGACATTCGATTGTTTTCTTCATTCGATTCTCATTCAGCAAAAAATGCATTCAGCATCATCTATTCACAAACAACGTTATATCTCATCTCACAATAGAATTATTCTGATTGTTCGTCCGTTGCAATTGTGACCTGAATTCAAAATTTTTCTAAATTATAACCTGAACAATCTATTCATGCCACGATCACATGCAGTAATACTATCCTATATTAACCTGCCAGCACCGCACCACTTCTTGTTAGTAACCGTGACAGAGGACTTGACCCGAGCGGACGGTCACCTCAAATCACCCCGTTGACCGTTTTTCCGTGGTCAACACTGCCTGATATTGCTGCCATAGTCCCGAGTTGTTATTATTATTGTGATAATCAGGTGAAAGTAATGGTGATAATGCAGTAATTTACGATTGCTTGCTTATCAGTTAATTGCGAATGTATGACGAGTTTGTGTGCGTTTCATTTCGTTATCATCATATCAAATCAGTGTGGCAGCAGCTAGCGTAGAATATTTTTAAGGCACTTCAACTCGTGATTACTGGCACGTTTTGGTCGCTTTACTTTAATTTATTACTTATTACTGTTGTTAGTGATATTTGTAATGAACATTCATTTAGATGGATTACTTTTCATTGTCATTACTTATTGTAATCGTGCTCAGCAGTTTTATATATGAGCCAGTATGCTTTGGATTTGGTTTACAATCATATGAAGGGTTAGTAGTAGTTGTTTGATTATAAATTATTTTTATCATTGTTATTGCTAGACCACTCGGTGACTCTGCCCAGCGAACGGGTGGGAATCGAGCCGACGGGAAATCAAAGGCTTGTGTCTGTCTGTCTATTTAGTTAATTAATTGTCTGTAGTAGTTATTCGTTGATGTTGTTATTTGATTTCATTTGGATGGTGTACTTTTTATGTTTATACTTTTATTCTTTTATTCAGATTCAAATTGTTACGATTTCCAACAAGCACAATGCAGTGGTTAGAGGAGCTTGAGGCTGTTGGTTTTCATCTGAATCGTGTTAGTTCTGATTTATTATTAGAGAGCAAGGAGGGCAGTTACTGAGGAACGATTTTTTTATAAATGGTATCATCACGAAATGATTTGACTGGAAAAGTTAGAAGAGCAAAAAATTTCATTTAATACTCCCTTCTATGGCTAGTTTTGTGGTGGCTGCGGTTGTGGCTTAGTTGAGTGTTATATAGATTGATGAGCCGAAAAGACCGCTGATCGATATTTGGGCTGAACCGAGTACGGTTCGAAAACATGCCGATGTGATGGTGGCACCGGAATTTTTGGACTCGTTTGTGTTGTTGTTGAAGCAACACGGCATTGACAACTATCGTATTGTCAAGCAGAACGTGCAACAGTTGGGTTTTTTTTTTTGTTTTTTTTTGGAGGAATCAATGAAGAAGTAGCCACCCTACCGTCATACCGTCCGTCATTTTGCCAATTACTCTTAATACTACTTGTATTTACTCGTTGCAGTCTGCATTTCTTCATTAAGACGACGACAATTCTTCATTAAAACGACGGCAGACTAGTTGGGTGGGTCGGTATCAGTATCCTTTCAGGGATATTGATCGTCAAAAACGTGAAATTCTATTGGCTAATAAATATCGTACAAAACGAAATACGGATAGAAGTAACGAAAAGGAAACATCTGAAGAAGGAGAGCATTCGAGCAAACGGAATGATCAATCTAATGCACGAAAACGGCGAAGTGATGCGCAAGTGGCAGCAGGAGCAGATTCTTTTAATTTATTGCAGTATCATCGATACGACGAGGTGAGGAGTATTCAGACGGATTAAGTTGTGAGGAGTGTGGCTGATACGAGATATATGGATACGAGATATAACGATTGAATGCAATCCAATCGAGATTTTTCGGATTGTGAGCAAAAATGACTGCTCTCTCATGCCTTAACTTTGTATCCATCCGTATTCTGTAAATGTGAATTTTGAGAGGAGTAGCAGTTGAAATATTTCAATTGATATGGTACTCATGTTAAATTTTTGCGTTTTTTTTTTGTTTTTCATCTTATAAAGTTGTTTGAATGCGTGTTTGATAGTGTTTTGCTTGAGATTCTTCAATATATGCACGATTTGAGTGAGAAGTACCCGCATTTAGTGAGTGAATTCAACGTAACGAAGTCGTTCGAAGGACGTGATCTGCGAGGCATTAAAGTGAGTCAATGAATATTTTAAGTGATCGTGATTGAACTTAAGTGATGATGTGTTCTATTTTTTGTTCATTATTCATTCATGCAATAATAATAATAATAAGAGCGCATCTGATCGGATCTGATCGGATCTGATCATAAGAGCGAGCGATTTGAGCTCTCTAATCACTGGGCAAATAGATAATTGAGTTTTTTGTGGCTGGCAGAAGAAAGAATTTCGTGAAATCAATTCAGGTGGGCACTGAATCGAAATTTAAGCCAGCCGTCTTCATCGATGCAGGTGTTCATGCGAGGGAGTGGATTGCACCCGCGGTTGCATTGTATGTGGCCACTCAGGTAGTTAATCATTATGATCTGATCTAATGATCAAGTGATTGATATGAATTGATTGTGATATTGATCGATCGATTTATAATGTTTGATCGCGTTATAAACAGCAACTGTATATAAGCGTTTTGTATTATTCGTTTATTGTATGGTGTCACAAATCGTAAGTGCTTTTAAATAAACGACTAGTTGAATTGTACAAGCTAGAACGGTTTCATTAATTATTTGATTTGTTTTAGCGTTCGCAATTTGGGTTTGCATTTGAAGTAGGTGTTTTTTGATTGATGGAAAGTTTTAGTTGGTGAATGGTTACGGTCACGATGAGGAGATCACTAAAATGGTGGACACATTTGACTGGTACTTCGTACCAGTGGCAAATCCAGACGGCTATGAGTATAGCATGACGATTGTTCGTTAGTTGCTGCCGTTTATTTTTGTGTTTGACGTTGGAATGCGAGGGGGAATGGGATTCTTCCGACTGATCGAACGAAAGCCAATCAGATAGAAACAAAATGAATTAATTCATAGACTAGTTGAGGCTCAGCGAAATGACATTGGTTTGATTTGATAGCAGTCGATTTGCAGCAGTGAGTGCCAAATGAGGCGACGTAGCGATTACGATAACGAGTTGAGGTTCTCTGGGCTGGCCAGCCGATCGTAAATAGTGTTCACATTTTAAATTGAAGGGTGGTAATAGGTAGTAGGCACAAGCGAATTTAAGGATCGATTGTGGCGTAAGACGAGATCACGGAATACAACTGTGAATAAATGGTGTGTTGGTGTGGACGCGAATCGTAATTGGGGCTACAGATGGGGAGGTGAGAGCTGTAATTTTGCACGGTGTTGTGATGGTGATCTGATCGATTTTCTGTGATCAGTCAGTCACAAATTAGTTCGTGACAAAATGTGATGTGACATTAATTGTAAGTAACAAAAGTTAGTGACAGTCACATTCAGCGTCACTTGTGAAGCGACAAAGTCGTCATTTTTGTCACTTTTGTCACAAATCAGTCGCATGACAAATTAGATTAAAATAGTTTTGCGCAGTAATCGATGGCAGTTGTCGGTTTCAGAGGCAGGCGCGAATCGAAGTCCGTGTTCGAACATCTACCACGGCGCAGAGCCGTTCAGCGAGGTGGAGGTGTCCGGCATACGCGACTTCACCACGTGGCAAATCCCCGAACTGAAGATTTACGTCAGTTTGCACAGCTATGGTCAAGTCTTCCTCACACCCTGGGGATATACCAAGGATAAACCCTTCAATTATTACGATCAGGTTAGTGATGGTTATATTTTATAAGTGACCATTGAATATTTGCGATTGAATAATTTCAGAAGACAGCGGCAAGATTGGCGGTTGAGGCTATCAAAAATAAAACCGGTGCAGCTTATACGTATGGCACTATTTCTGAGTTGATGTGTCAGCTTTTTTATCTTTATTTTATGTTATTGTTATTGTTGTTATTATTATTATTGTTATTATTATTATTATTATTATCATTATTATTATTATTATTATTATTATTATTATTATTATGTTGTTGTATTTCAGATCCAGCATCAGGTACGAGCATAGATTATATGCAGAGTAAGGGTGTTCCATATATCTATGGGATTGAACTGAGACCCGAGGATGTGGACAATAATTTTGGTTTTACAATTCCGGCCAAATACATTGAGCCAACGGGTAAGGAGGATGGATGGTTTATATAAATGGAAAGTTGAGTGATTTGATGAGATAGATTCATTTGATTGGATTTGTTTAAGGTGAGGAGATGTTGTCGGCGTTTTTGACGATGACGCGTTACGCGACAAGCGTTCAAACGACATATACATACGTCTAGTGGATTTTGGGACGGAGTTGGGAGTGTTTTTAGTACATGTATATGAGTTAGTGAAACGGTAGTGTGTGTTTGTATTTATTTATGTGCTTTGTGCCTTCTTGTTTGCTTCTTTCATTGGGCAGTCGTTCTTTCATACTTTCATCTCATTGGAATCTTACTTCATACTTCATCTGAAGCTTTGCTTGCTTCACTTTATTCATTATTATTATTATTATTATTATTATTATTATTATGATTATTTAAGTAGATCTGTGATTTACAATTGACATGTTGTCATTTTGATGTGAACGGTGTTGCTGGCTGAAGAGTTTCGGCGGTTGGAACACTACTGGAAATGTACTAGAAAGAGTGAATGTAAGGTCAGCTCGTGAACTGGATGTTATCGAATAGAATCGAATCGAAGTGAAGTGACGTCTAAACTCTTTCAGCAGATTTGGGGCCGCCGATACTTTTTCATAAAGCGGAATATGAGAGCAACATAACTAACTAAATATAATCTTATTTGTAGAGAAAGTAGTAATCGTTGAGTAGTGATTATAGTTGTAATCTTATTCATCATGTTGTTAAGAGTCATTGGAATTTTAGACTAATTTTAGGCTGTAATTTTTGTTATTTGCATGTTTTTAGATTATTGATTGTGTGGATTTAGTTGTAGTTAGTAGTTGTATTTGTATTGGTTAGTTGGATTGGATTATTATAATTTGGTTATAGTATGCGACAGTGCTTTGTAACACGAGTTCAGTGAGTAGGTAATGCTGACATATAATTAGTATTGTTATTGTTATTATTATTATTATTGTGATTAATAACTCATGTAATATTAATTCATTAACCATCAAATTGAGCTTTATTATGTTTTGAATTGATTTGATTTGGATCATAATCATAAGTATAAAATTATTCGTTTGTTTCTTTGATAGCATTTTTTACGTTTGAAGTGCGATTTGGTGTGTTATTTTGTTAGATTGGTTTTATTAGTTGCATTGGGTTTTTGGTGAGATGATTATGGTTATTAGTGGTTTGTAAGATTGTGGAATGATGCTGTAAATGTTGATGAGGTGATTTGAAGAAGAAAC